TAATTTCTGTTGGAACTCGTGGTGAGCTTTCTGATTGTCTTCGGACTTATTATGCTGTTTATTTTGTGCGTGATAACTCTGATTCGTGTTGGAATAGCCACTTGAAATGGTGGTTGGGTTAGCATTTTGCTGATAATTTCCCATGTTCCTACGATTGTTATTTGGATTTCCCTGAACATTATTATTTTTAGGTTTTTCAGTAACGCTATTTTCATATAATCCCTCTCTTTGAGCTACTTGCTTTAGTTTTTGTGTCGACGTAATGTCGTGTCTGGCTAACATCATGAAAAGCCTATCTGGTAATTTTTTTGTAATAACATCTTTGATTGTGTTATTCATAGCATTTGTATAAAGGGTTGTATTGCTAGGTATATTTTCTAGTGCTAACTTATTTAAAATAACAAAAGATTTATTCTCGAGCTCCTCGATGAACTTACGGACGTTTCCTTGGTAATTCGTGTTGTATAAGCGTCGAAGGAGTTCTTCAAATGGTGTCTGCACTTTGTATTCTTCAATCAATGCGTTTCTCAGCTCCTGCCAAGTGTTGGCTGCTGTCCTTTGTGATATTCTCTGAGCATCTCCTGTGACTTGCAATTCGATGGCTCCGTATAAGATGCTATGTTGTCTAACATCTCGGGTTGGATACAGGTGTAGGATGTAATCTATCCTTTTAATGAAGGCGTTTAGTTGATCCGTTGATCCGTCAAAGCTTGGCACCTGTCTAAGTTGTGAAAGGGCCTGGTTGAGGTGTTGTTCTGATAATTCCATTGTCATCTTGGTGTAATACACTTTTTTTTGAATAGTTTTGAGTTTGTAGGTTTGAACTTTATTGTTCTTTGATTTTGCACTTTTATTTTAAGTTAAAGTTTGTGATGGATTATTGTGTAAATGTTTTTTTTTTTTTTGTGTGTGTGTCTTAAAAAGACTCAGTAATAACGTATTGCAGGGATCAAACGATATGCAAAGCCAGTCGTTATTAACTGTAGTAGCTTTATTGCCCAAAGGGTCAATATTATTAAGCTACTAATGACCCGAAGGTTCTTGTGCGGATACGTATTCGAGAAAATTTTTATTACACTCCGACAACACTTTCGGTCGCGATTGTGCGTTAGATCTGGGAATTAATTATCCTTTAGCGATCTTTAATTTTTCCCGACGTATCCTACCGGCTGCGCCAATTAAGTTTTACACGTTAGGTTACTATAAAAAAATATATTTCAATTTATTATTTTCACTTAACGGCTACTTTTGTTGAGTACATTCAGATTTGCTTCCCGAATATGAACTGATTTATCTAACTGTTGCGGTCGCTTCGCAAACTTCGCTTTGAGAGAGTTTGAGTCAAAATTGAGTGAAGTTTGAGCTGCGTCAGCAATTATGCGTGGGATAGTACTCTGATGGGAACATTGACAGTGGCGTGATATTTAGGGTGAATTGTTTATGTCTACCAAAGGGGGACAGTTTGATCTTGACCAATGTCGATGTTATCACCAGGCTCTTTGTTTACAATATTAGAAATGTTTATAGTTGTGCTTATGCTTATGTGCTAAGTTATGTTAAAGGGTGGGTGCGACTATGGATATGTCACTATATATTTAATCAATTGAAGTCCTTACTCAAAAAACATTTTACTGATTACAAATGTGAATGCCGCTTTGATAATTAATGTAATCTATTAAGATCTTATTCATATGTTGACCAATCTATTCGTTTATTTGCTTCTGTCTGATGTCCCCATTAAATATTGGCAACCGTTTGTAATTGAAAGGTTTAAAGAAATCCAAAAGTCAGTCAATAATCTAAAATTATCTGAAATATTTTTTCAATTTGAAAAGATTCCAATCGATAGAAAATTACATTATTCAAAAGATTGAATTTAAAACGAACTACTATGTATTTTATCGACGTTATCTGAATACAAATATTTCATTCATATTTTTTGTATACAGTTATTACTTACACCTACTTGCTGTTGTTCGAACAACTTTGAGCCCAAAAGAGTTTGGCAAAAACGTAAAAACAAAACAAAGTAAGTTTTCCGCCAAAAGTTCATATACGAGCATTTAATCAGGATAGCTTTAAAGCTGAGATACTTACTTGACTAGAAGCAGACAGTTTTGTTGACGCTGACCAAAAATATTCATTAATCAAAAAAAAAAAAAAAAAATCTTAAAGCCAGCTAGCTTAATCTTAGTAGTTATATACTTAATGGGAATAGATGAATGAATTACGCTGCTTTATATTATTAGAGCATTAGCGAAACAAGCTTGAACTATTTCCAATTGAATATCGTTTTGGAATGTTTGTTTTCTGCATATCAGTTCGAATTATTCGCCGCTTAGTTCCAAGCATTCGATAATCCGAAATACACGCGTATTTCCGTTCCTTTATCGCATTCGCAACGTACAAAGGAAACCAGAAAAAAAAAATTCAGAACAGGAACAACAACAATTGCCACGGTAACGGCGACGGCCGCCGTCTCTGTTGCTGACTTCGCCTCTGCCACTGCCTCTGCCACGGCCTCTGCTTTTGCAATGCGCCCTGCAGCGACGCTGCCGCCATCGTCAACTGAGGCCACCCCCCGGTATGCTATTTATAGCTAAGCGCTGATGCCACTGTTTATGTCGCTGCCTTTGACTGAGTTTTGGACGCGAAGCTAACAGCTGGTTCTATGGTGTAATGGTTAGCACTCTGGACTTTGAATCCAGCGATCCGAGTTCAAATCTCGGTAGAACCTTGAACCTTAAACCGTTCGCTTGTTATTTTTTTTTTCAAAGCGTCGTTTGTATTTCTTTTTTTTTTATTAATGTTTACATTTAATATTTGTTAATATTGATTAATCAATTTATTTACTTCCGTTGAAATCGAGTGTTGCCGAATTGACAGAATGTGACTTGCCAGTCCCAGATCATGAATGATTTGATTAAGATAGCGCCCAATTCTGTTCAATAGCGGACACTTCACCCCATAAGCAATTATCTGCTTAATCGAGTGTGAAAATCATTCGTTATTTACCAGACCCGTACCCTCCCTAACAGTCCTACTGCTGCCTGACTTTACTGATTATAATTTTCAGTTTGATTTTTTTCTTATTTACGTCCCGCATTACAATTTAGCTTCAATTTGATAGCTAAACACAATTGTCTTGACATATAAAGTAAAATAGCATAAACATTTTAGACAGTTGAACCTTAAAGAGATTTTGCCTTTATTTTTTTTTTGCTGCCTGGGAACTAACATTTTCAGACTATATAAATTGAACCTATTAAATGATAGCTAACTTTTTCATCGTAAATATTCGTTCTGGAAATCTTAAGCTAGCACTTTCGCAAGTTAAATCAATCCTTAGCACTTCAGGGGTTTTCAATTTAATGCTTTGTATCAAAATTATTCATTGGATATCCATATTTGTGCGTGAGTCCACTTTGCTTGGCAACAAGCATATTTTGGAATATATTAAGGCTTAAGTTAAGCAGCCCTTTAATGGCCGCGAACAGAGAGAAAAAAAAAATTAATATTGGCGCTTGGTTACGGGCAGTCGTTTTGCCTTGGGGAAAAGTAAAAGTTGGCCGGTTGGTTCTGCAAATGGTCGAAACACCGGAAATGTTAACACCATTTCTCAAACTGGCCAACGGAGCATGGACGAACTTGTCGTTGCTCAATTAGCAAAATGCCTACGAGCTGCGTTTGCTGGTTAATAGCGAGGCCTCAATGGACACGGACACAGCCATCATTATTACTTACTCGTATTTGAAGTGTTTAGATAACAACGAAAAACACAAAAAAAAAAAAAAAAAAACTGGAAAAACTAACAACGCACCGCAGCTGCCAACAGACAACAGCCAACAGGCAATAGCAACAATCAACAGCAGCAGCAGCAGCAGCAGCAGCAGCAGCAAAGATACAACAAGCAACATGGCCCAGGCAACGGCGAAAATAGCCTACAACCTTTTTTGGGTAAACCACAATCCCTCCAGCTGCCCCTTCACGCACCACCTGACCGGTGAGGCACGGCTCGGCACGGCTCGGCCCCCACGATCCCCGCACATTGCCCGTTACAATGTTCATTCATTTATAACGAATTTCAACATTGAAATGTTAAAAATTGTTAAGCAGCCTTGTCCGGACTGCGGATCGTGGACCCGTCCATGGGCTGCCCGCCAGCCTGCCTGCGGAGGAATTCTTCTCTCTATTTTATTATTATTTTAACAATATTTTTTCTCCATATATATTTGTTGTTGTTGTGGAGCTTAAAACAAATCATCTTCATTCATGTCGTCTGGCTGTCTGTCAGGGCAGCTGCTGTCTAAAAGACATTAGTTCGTAACTTAATTAATGCTTTTGTGTTAATTGCCTCAGCAAAAACAATATATAAAAAAAAAATGTTTAAAAATACAACAACCACTCAGAAGCTTAAAATCTTCGACAAACAATGAAACTTCGTGCGTGTGCCCGAAAATTATAAATTGTGAGACAGCAATATAAACTCATTTTTCAGCATTATTGAATGGGAGTCTTAAAATATGACATTATAATATTATATAGCCCAGGTATTTGGACCTGCTTCATCAGTTAAATAAACTGTTTATTAGCAAGAGATTTGGCTATCTGGTTTCGAGATTCAGCGACCAAATTCTGGCATTTTTTCGACACGTTTCGAAAACATGACCGAAATTGCCCAAAAATGTGAAAACATGTACATGCATAATTCATGGCAAGTCGGCTCGCTTTGCCACACGGCAATATTAGTTTCCAAGTATTGAAAACACTGTAGTGTTGTGTAGCGATGACAGCAGAAATCACATACATTTGTATGCAGTGCTGCACAATTTTCTTTTACTCTGAACCCTAGACCAAACCAGTTGCCGAATCTGAAACCGAACCAAATCAATATTAACGAAAAAATGTTTTGGCAAATATTGTTCTTAAAGTCTTTCCGTTGTAATAATAATTTTGTCATAAAATGTGTATTCTTAACTTATATCGACTTCCGTCTGTCATAATCATAACACAAGATATATTTGTCAAAACGAACTGTTCTATTATATTAGGCTTTATAGGAAGAATCGGTCCCGAGTTGTGTTTTTGTGTGGACAAGTTTTCCGTTTGTCAATATATCTAAATCAAACTCACATATCTGAAAAAGCGTAAGCCATATATTATAAAGGGTATTTCATTTTCGGCATGCCAATTGTCTATTAATTTTTTTAATTCAGCTCGCAATGGAGAACGACCTGCTAACGTTTTTCCTCTTGTATAAAGTTTAAGCTTACAGACAAAAAAAAAAAGTTTGTTTACAACCTTTGGACAGCAATTTGCTATATAAGAGGGGTGGATCTGCGGAAAAGTGGGAAACAAGTATCAAATGAATTTACACAAGATTCCTTGAAATTGCACTAGAAGCCTCTCGGATGGTAAATAAAAAGTTTCGCACAACTGTTTTTTGCCAATTTTTCACAGCTGCGGGTGGAATTTTCAAAAATTGCCGAATAACGTTTTAATTAAGTTTTTATTACAGAGAAGTTAAATGTAACAATTTTCCATGATTTTTCCATCATTTCGGGCTTGAATTTCGCTTTCCGTGCAGAAGCTTCACATGAGCTTACAACAGCTTTCAGGTTTCTAGCTCTTACGGCTTGGGCCGTGCGTTGATGGCTGACGACTGTGGCCTGCGACCCAAAGAAAGCCTCACACACACAAGAGCCTCGCATTTTATAAGCTTGTGTTGAGAGAAATTCACTTTATGGCTATATATGTAAGGGTGTTCGGGTTTCGGTGCTGCGCAGACGGCAGCTCATTCGTGTTGGGTCTGAGAAGCATATTTAAATCTGACAGCACTGATTAATAGAGGCCAATTAGTTTTGTATAACAATCACAGCGACAAGCGCTTGGCAACAAGCAGTTGGCTCTGCGTCTGCAAATGCGTCCAAAATGCAAGCTGCCCACACACACTAACACACACAGACAGCCCCACATATGCGAAAGAGATAGAGCACAGCAAAATGAACACAAAATACACAAAAATCGATGCCTCCGACTGAGTGGGCCGAGATGTTAAGTTGACCGGCCAACAGTCCGTATGCCGGCCAGCCGGCCGGCAAAACCTATGCCGATGACGCCATCTGGTGAGCACGAAATGTTGTCACTGATTCAGCGTGAGTTCCCCTACCCAACGGATCGCCACCGACTGCTAAAAGACGACGACGACGAATTTGGCAACTGGCCTGTCTTTATGGCCGGGCAGGTTTTTCCTTGGGAAAATGCATTAGCATGAATCATTCATGCCTAGCTGGCCAGGCAGCCAAATGCATTGCCCCCAATTTTCTGGCCAGACCGAAAATCCATGTTAATTTTTTCAAGTGCTTTTTGCCAAAGTTCAAGTGGCGCTGATGTCAAAATATTATTTTTGTTCGCTGTATAAAGGAATGCGTATGACCGTATGTACAGAAATAATTATATTTATCAATATATTGCGCATGCACGAAATTGAGCATGTATTTTTTAGTACAAACGTTAAGTCTGGCCGACTTGTATATACCCTTTAAAGAAACTCAAACGCCTTTTTAATCCCTCGATCGTATTTTCCGATCGTTTTAGAATGCTGAGATAACGATAGATATTTTAGAATAATCGCTAGTTGGAATGAAGGGAAGCTAATCGAACATTATCAATATTGGAAAAACCGAGGGCCATCGGATGCTATGGCTGATATCCGAATAGTCAGAACGAAACCTATTTCATTGTTGGCTACTTGAGCCAAGTTTATAAATAATACAATTTTTACCATTTGTGAGATGGAACTTTATGTCAAAATTTTACTGGTTGTCAGCTAGCTTTACAATGCCCTCTTCAAAAGGCTTTAACGCCGACTGACCGAAATCGCGACAACAAGATGGAAAAAAAAAGAAACAACCTTGGCAGCTTACTTTGTCAGGAGTACGAGAAAATCCACCTGGAAGTGTTAAAATTGGATTCTCCATGCAAAAAATGGTGCAGAGAGTGCGAAGATTTCCCCACATGGATAAATGGGTCGCAACACACCAGAAAAAAAGTGGTACCAAAAAGTCAAACATTTATTTATTTAGCTTGACTAGCCTAAAATGTTTAACGAGTTGTTCAAATAAAACAAAAAAAAAAACCCCAAACCTTTTCGACGAAAATTGAAAGCAAAAAAAAAAAAAACAAATTTGGATTTGTATAAGACCCTGCACGTATCAAACATGCGCGAGGTAAAGATACCCCTTGCCCTTATCCGGGGCATCTAGAGTACCAGCAAACCGCGCCCTCGATCCGCGATATGCGATCCGCGTCCCTCGTACGACAGCTTGCCCGGCGGCTGCTCCGTCCCGTGTTTCTGTAATTCGCAAGCAATTAAAAGCCTGACACGCAAACGCTTGGCAACAAGCTTGAAAATTAGAAACTAAACCTCAGACAGGAACTAAGCGCGGCCACTCACGTACCAACATATATGGGCCTGCCACTGAATACGACTTACAACTGAGTGTATGGCTTACACACACACCTGCACACAACTCTCATGACCGTACCCATAGCCACACTCAGACTCACACTTAGACTCAGACTCGGACTCGGACTCAGACTCAGACTCATAGTCATTGCCCAAGTTAGAGACTTGCTCGGCTTCTCTTGGAGACCGTTCATTAGACAGGCTAGAGTATGGGCGGTTAGGCAGGCATAGGCCTACATTTAATGTAATTATCAATGATTAATGAATTTTTTAAGCAAACATTGTGTTGCGACTAGGCAGAGATTTCATTTCAAAACCGAAACTGAAACTGAAACTGAACCAAACCGAAACGAACCGAACCGAAATCGAAATTGAAACTATAAAATAAAAACGAAAAAGTTGCTGCAGCAGTACCCGGCTGCAAAATACACTGTTTCCAGCGTAAAGATATATAAAACACGAGATTTTCAAATAAGAATTAGAGCTCAAATCTTACAGTGTTTTTCTTGTTATATATTTTTTTTAGCGAAGAGTAAGTGTATGTACTCTACTATATGATATTTTGCCAATATTAGCTGGCAACTGGTGTTGGTTGTGCCCAATACGCTCGTTTTCTTTATGCCAACAGAGTATAAAAAGTGTGAACTGCGAACAGAGCAGATTGATGAGGCTGATGTCCAAATGATGCCCAGGTAGCTCGGCTCATATTAGCGACTTCTATTTATATTTCAAGAGTCCAAAGACTTCACTTTGTTAGGGCAAACCAAGAACAAGTAAGAGTGCTCTAGTTAGGTGGGACCGACTCGGAGATACCATGTACCCGAGCTGTTTCTAGCTTTTTACTCTATAAAGGAACACAAACACACACACATACACCAAAATTCAAGAGATGAAAGGTATGGAGTATCCAAGAAGGGAAAAATTCTGTGTACCACCTTATATATTCGAAATAAATAAAGTGTAAAAATCGATATTTATAGATGCTTTGATAGATATCGAAATAAAAACTTGTTCTAGGTATAATAGGAGTTAAGCTTCAAAGCTTTTGCAGTTATCGACATCGACACGATCACCCTGTTAGACTCAGTCCAATGAAGTATACTTTACGGGCTCGGAGATACCTCCTTCTGGCTGTTACATATACTTGCACAAAACCATTATACCCATTCTAAGCCGTTTTCAGCAGTTACAGGATACAATAAAATTAACACAAGTCCTCGACGCATTGCGCTCTAGTTTTAGCCTCGAGTCTTCGATGTACGCTTCAATTGATTTCAATTTCGGCCAGCGGCTCGGGGTAGGGTATTACTGCAATTAACATGGAAGGTGGCATTTTTGCTATTGACTCGATATTTCCAGGCTGGCAGGCGGGCAGGCGGCATTGATTGCCGACTGGCCGGAGGCGTGCCTTGAAGTTGCCCCTAAAAGAATTGTTGGCCTAATGATTGTAAAACCAATTTCCAGTTGCCACATTCAATTAACCAGCGTGTGAATAGGAGCACAGAGCATGCCGCCTTTTTTGGCACGCCCACAAAACCAAGCATATTCCAAATCTGATGCTGGTGGCGTCATTGCTCAGCTGGAGGTCAAAACGCCAGCGGGCAAAAATAACAAGAAGAATAGGAAGCCAGAAGAAAACACCAAATTTCAATTCAATAATATGAATTTCAAATTTCGCAATGCCCCCAACACTCCACCCCCTAACACACACACACACACACACACACACACACATTCACATGGGTTAATATGCAAGTTGTTCGATTTGTCAAAGCTAAGCCCTGGACTATTAGTCTTCATTAGAGGCGGGGCACTCAAGTGGATACTCATGCCCCCTCCTTTATCAGCCGCCACATAAATTGTAAACAAAGGGCAATGTTTTTGTTTTCTCAGTGTTTAGCTTATCAGGAAGGGGGCGAAAACGTTGTAATTATTGCTGTACACCGTGGTGTATGTGAAATTTCCGAAACTATTTATGTTAATACGCAAAGCGAGCGATATAAAAACCATAAAATGCCGCAAAACACATTCAAATAGATGCGTACCCGACATAAGGTAGCATAAATTATCACAAAGGCAGCGGCAGCGGCAGCAGCAGCGCCAAAGACGAAACACATGTAATAAAAACTCTATTAAAAATGCCACTTACAATTAACAAAAGGCCCGCACTGCCAGCCAGCCAGGGTTCAGGGAGGGCCACCGCATAGATACGCAAAAAGTACAACAAGAAATGCGAGTAATAGAAAACCATATATGAGTAAATGGATAGAAGTACAGGTATACAAAAAAATAAAATAAAAATAAAATAAAGTAAAAGAAAATAAAGAAAAGAGCAGAAAGTATCTACGCAGTTATATAAAAATCCAGTGCTGACTTGATTGGCTTGCCATTGAATGGGGCCCTCAGTTCTGTAGCATGACAACAGCCTGAGAAAGCCTAGATAGGCAGCCAGCAAGGCGACATATTTGTCAATATCAATTGAAACGCATATTATATGTTTATATATATAGTTATAAAGAGTTTCTCAGGACAGCGGCTAAGAGGTGACTGCTAGAAAGCGGTAGGTACTAGATTTGTCTAGAATAACATTTGATTTTAAGGAAAATTCAAATTAAAAATTAATTTTATATATTTCATTTATCATACGCTAGACAAGGAGAGTTCACTTAGAGTCCAGTTGGATTAAGTAATTACATTTATAATATTATGCCGCATTTAAAAACTGTATCTTAATTGAGAATTGAAATGAGTTTTATATACTCTTCAATGAGATTTAATTTTAAGCTAACTCACATATTCAGTAGTTCGGTTGTCGCCTGTCGCGGAATACTTTTGCGCAATGTGTGAATAAATAAAAGAATGTGCGTATTTGAGGTGGCTGCAAATAGTTACGCATAGCGCACGCAAATAAATTTATAAATATTTCAAACACCAATTTACATACTCGTCCCACACACAGATACTTTTG